GTAAAAGTGAGAAAACTCGTGGGTTGAGATAAAGACAGTTTAATAGGTAAAGCAAAGCTGTGCACGCAAGCAAAGCAAAACGAGGAATTCATTCACTACTTCCTGTCAGCAGGCAGGTGTTCAGCCATCTCCGGGAAAGCAGGACTCCGCATCGTGTGTAAACGTTACTTGGGAAGACAAATGCCATCACTCCGAACGTCCCCCCCTTCCTTCTTCTTCCCCCACCTTTATATACTGAGCATGACATCATATGGTATGGAATATCCCTTTGGCCAGTTTGGGTCAGCTGTCCTGGCTGTGCCCCCTCCCAGCTTCTTGTGCTGGAAGCAGTCGGTAGAGCATGGGAAGGTGAAAAGTCCTTGACTAGTGTAAACGCTACCTAGCAACAACTAAAACATTGGTGTGTTATCAACATTGTTCTCACCCTAAATCCAAAACACAGCACTGTACCAGCTACTAGGAAGGAAATTAACTCTATCCCTGCTGAAACCAGGACATTCCCAGGTAGATATTTTGACTAATTTGTTGGCTTACTTATGAGACAAAGTTTCTAACAAAATAGTACTGATTTGTTTGGCAGCAAAATCTAGGGGTCAGGGGTGTGTGTGTATATATATATTTTAATGAGATGGAGGTGTCATCTGAACATACAAACATGAGGAGAGAAGACATTTTTCTAGAAACTTGTTTTCAGGCAGAGCTTATAAAGCAAAGAAGAAAGTTAGCTGGCACTGATGGTACTGGATCAGGTTGCTGTTCAGGTTTGTGTGCTACAGCGTCAAAATTTATGCTAGGACATTGCTTTGTGTCTTTGAGGCATAACAATGAAAGCAAACTAAAGTATGATGCAAAGTTTTTACAAGCTTTTTGCATTGCTTGTATGTACTGAGTCTGAAATGCAAGTAAGGCAGCTCCCTGAAGCAAAATCAACATCAGAAAAGCAGAACTAAAAAAATAACCATTCATTTTAGTCTTTCTGCTGTCCTTCATTTCTAGTACTTGCAGAAGCAAATTTGTATAACAGCAGACGATGATTGTGTGATTATATACAAAGTGATGAAGGGTAAGATCATTGGGTGAAGTTTGTCGTTCAGGCAAAATGATCGACTATGTTGCCTTGTTACTGTATTTTCCACAGCTGGAAAAGAAAGTGGAGTCTTTAAACCGTGAAATAGAGGAGACCAACTCTGAACTGGAGACACTCCTTCAGCGGCGGGACAGAGAAAACCAAGAAGGAGGGAATTTGGTATCCATGTTGAGATCTGATATTGAGCAATCCAATGATGAAAGGTTTGTACATCTTGGGTTACATAATGCTTAGTGGTTGGTTTTTTATTTGCTTGTTCCCTCACTTTTCATAAAGACGTCAATAACTAGGCAAAATTAAGCCAGCTCAAGTTAAGTGTAGGATGATGATATATTGGTTTTATTTACAAGTTTTTTTGAGGTTTTTTAATTACCAACCTATCTTGATATGGAGAGCAAGATTTTTTTTTTTCTTCCTTGTTTTCTTGTGGTCTGATGGAGACTTCGGTCTTTTGGGGTTTCCACTGTCTATAATCTTGGAAAAAGCTAGGAAGTGGAGAAAGCCTCTTGGTCACAGAAACCTTTCAGTGCAATGTGGATTGGTTTGATATGTCATTGGAATGTGTGGGTTAGAGAAGCCGTTGTGCTGAATAAGCTTCTAGAAGAATTCCCTCTCTCTCACCCTTAAGAAACTGGCTTACTGTTTTTCTTAAACCTAAAATGTTTTCATAATTACAATTTTTGTTGTCTACTCTGCCAGAACACCCCTAGTTATTTTGATGTCACAGATACTATACTAGTGAAAGTGTTCTCCCTACTGGTGCTTCCACAGATGTGGAAGCCTGAAATGCTTGTGACTGCAGTGTGATGTCTCCATCTAACTGTGGAAAAGACAAAGTTTTTTTGCTGAGTCTGCTCTGAAAATGGCCTTGGTTTTTTGTGAGTCATCTGAATTATCTTCGCTGATAACTGTCAAACTATGGCAAGATATCCATTTTAGACTGTCAGTTTTTCAGTAGGTTCAAAGTATCTTTTAAATCAAGTGCATGGAATTTTTGAAGTGTTCGATTATGCTTTTGTTCTAGGAAAAAACTGCAGGAATCTTATCAGCATCTTTTGAAATGGCTTATGGAGTTGGTGAAGGCCACAATAGCTATTGAGGACCTTATCTGTAGCAAGATTGGTCTTTGCCTTGATGACAGTCTGGCTTCTGGAGATTCTAGAGAAAGTCACAGTATTATGGAAGAAATGGGATTCATGCAGTATTTCAAAGCCAAAGAAAAACATCACCTAGAAAAAGGTGAGTACAAATCTGCATAACTGGATGTAGTCAATTCATGTTCTTGAAAAACGCCTTTTCATTTCCTTTTATATGGATGAGGTTCAGAAAGGGGATATGTCTTGTTGCAGTGTTTTCTGTGTCTCTTTCAAAGTTGCTCCACGCTTAAGATAGTGTCTATCAGCGTTCTTTCATTTTAATTCTCTTAATAGTGCAAATACTAGAATGTTACTGGAAAAGGCTGAATGGATTATAGGGCAGGAAAGGTGAACTTGGTGAATGCAGAGTTTCAGGCGCTGATGTATAGCACAATATTTCCAAATGATGTGAAAGACTGTCTTGATTTGTCAACATTGAGTTATTGATGTGTAAAAGTTTTCACCTTGTAATACATCTTCAGGACTAACCAGTGTCACTGATTTCAGTTGTTGTCTGAATGGCCAGTTCTGTGTCATTTTTCTGTGTTTTTAAATAGCTTGCTTGTTTTCAGTAGATGAGCTGCTTGATGAAACTCTTGCAGAACACAACCAGCTGTCTTCAGTGACTGATGAGGGGTCTGACTTGAGCCAATACTTATGTGAAAGTGTTTTTGCAAAGCCGGAATTGGCATGTGAAAATGAAGAAATGATATTGAAAATTGGTCATCGTTTGCGCACTGCAGTGGAGAGACTTCTGGAACTGGTTACAGAATCAACTAAACAAGTAAAACTTTTTAATCTGTATAGATGTATAACTATACTGCAAATATGAAATCCGTTTTAAGGCTTGTGTATTTAGCACCCTGTAGGACTGGATGCTAAAAAGAACTTGTCATGTATTCAGACAAAATCTGTTTATCAGTATAGGGAGGCATGTGCATCCGCTGCTTCTTACAATGAAGATTTTGCCCTTATTTGATCATTTCTTATAAATGAGACTTTAACGACTTTTTTATTCTCCTAGCAGATCCTGTAGGAAGGCTATAAGTTGGTTGCCTTAAGTAGATTTTAGATTAAACTAGGATTTTAGATGTATTTGGTAACTTCAGGAGACCAAGAGTTAGGGGGATTTGAGGGTTTTTTATCGCACTTCACATCAGTGCTTCTTCACCATTGATAAGGAGGTTCAAGAAAACTCAGTCCCATGTTTAAATGTTTTCGGAATATGTAGATAGCAGCAAGCAAACATCCTTGTAATTATATACTGCTTAACTGTGATAAAAGGAGCTGAACTCAATATCATAAAAGAATTTGAGTATTCCCATACTGAGTTTTGCAGTGTCTAGACATTCAGCTTTGTGAAGAGAAGTTGTAAACCTGAGGTAGATACCCAAGTACTGTATACATTTAGAGGATTGAATTTAGTGCTACAGTAATTAGTTTGTTAAGTAAAGAAGCCCCGAATTTAAAAGAAAATCTGAAGGGAAGGAATATATCTGAAATTCATCTTCTCATCAGGTATTTTGTGCAACCCAGAGATAAGAGTCTGAATGGTGTGTCTGAGATGGTGAAACGTATACTCACCATTTAAAAAAAAAAAAAAAAAAAAAAATCCCTTCTAGAATGAGGTGCTTAAGTTTGGACTTCTGGGTACTGGTACCAGTTCCACTAGCATGTAGCTAACTTGTGGTTAAAGCACTTGCCCAAGCCATGGCCAATCTAGATTCTAGGTCATCCTTATCAGCTGCATTCAAGCATACTTTGCTTACGTCTGTGAAATGTTCTATCCACTGGGATAAGCTAAGTATAAACTTAATGGGAATGGGGCTCCTCTATTCCTTTCCTTTGAACTTGAGACACTGCATGTAGGAATGCAAGATACATAGTCTTAGAGAACCAGTGCCATACCTTGGAAACCTGATGATATATTGACTTCACTGTCTGTTAGACATGCCTGAATCTCTTGAAGAATTTAAGTGCGAGGATGCTTTGAATTTCAAGTGGCTCAGGAAGTGTCAAGCTGAGCAGTTTAGCCAACAGGGGGGTATCTCTCTTTACACACAGTAAAGAAACTTATATACCTAAGTAAGTTTTGTGGCAAAAATACAGGTATGTTAGTACAGGGAGTCACCAAAGTGTCCAGGGGTTTTTGGCCAGTCAACCTAGAACTAAAATGAAAATTCAAAACCTGGACCTTAATGCATAAATGTTATAAAAAATTATGAGGGTTTTTGTTTAAATGTCTGTAGTATTGTTACATTGCATGTGCATCCAAGATCTGATGCTAGGGAAATTGTTTACTTTTAGCTGGAGAAAATGCATGAAAACCATGCACAATTTGAAGAAGAATTCAGCCGCCAAAATCAGGAAACTGCCCAAGTGGTTAGTCAGCACCAGGAACTAATGGAGTGCCTCAGTGAGGAAAGTGAGGCCAAGAATCAGCTGGCACTAGAGCTTCATAAAGCAGAGGGTAAGAAAATGAAACCAATAGGAAGAGATTTCAGTGTCACTTACTCATAGCTCATTCTTCCAAATATTTATGATACGCTTTTGTGTCTTTTGTTGTTGATTTGCCTGTCTATAATCCATTTTCTGCCTTTCAGATGACTAAATTACTTGCAGCTTGGGTCTTCTCTTGCAAATCTACTAAACTCTCTTCATCAGAATTGCATTTCTCTGGGGCAAGTGTGATAGTGCTTAGTCCTATACTTATACCATTGACTGCGTGTGAAAAATACCATAATTTTTTAAAACAGCGGTTTGTGTTCCTGCATGTCTAAACATGGGAGCTTGGATTATTGAAAAGAACATATACTCCTGGTGTAAATCAGCCCACCTGTCTGACCTTGGAAGGGTTCAGCATGAACTAGAGCAATGTTTGATAGTAGTGCAGGCATAAAGAGATTCTGTAAGAAGAGACAGAAAGGCTGAGGCTGTTGGTCTCAACGCTATCACAGACTGCATATCGTCAGTCTAATTCCACCTTGTGAACATTACGACTTGGTCGTCTTCTTTATGTGGGAGAATCTTTCAGGGTTTCCGTGTCCTTCAAGTTGAGCTTCTCTCCCTAATCATGGCATCTGCTTTCCATTCCTCTTCTCAGTCATACTCCTTTAGGCTTATTTGGTCTTTCCAAAATCCTGTTTCCTTTCTTTCTGTGAATCATTCCTGGATTTCTTGGGCTCTGAATCTAACACTTGATCTTACTTTTTGGAGATTGTATTTCTTTGAACTTCAGCCCCCAGCAGAGGATGTATCATGCTGTCCTGTGTTGTGAGGTCAACCCATGCCATCAAGGCTTAACAATCCTCATATATGTTCCACGTGTTTGGAGATGTTTTGTGACATGGCAGCCTCATAAAATCTGTTAGAATACATTAACTGGTCCACTTTATTCCTTAAAATACTTCAAAAAGCCTAGCTACAATGTAAATTTAAGTAGTCTTGCATGTCTTCCTTTCTATGTCACCTTCCATTGTTTGCATAAAATTGTTTATTCATGTTTTCGAGCTGCTTTTTTTTCTAATAGATGAGTTTGTCTACTGCTTTATTTGCATTCTGACTTGGAATTTTAGGCATTATCGAAGGCTATGTTGCAGAAAAAGCTGCATTGGAAGAGGCCTTGAACCTGAAAGAGGAATCAGAGCGTCGCCTTGTTATGGAGCTGGAGAATATGCGTGAACGCTTCCAGGAGCTAACCCAGGAGCAAGCAATTCTTGGTGAGGAGTGGGTATGACCCTGTTAGTGGAAAATGAAATTGTCTCTAGTCAGGGCACACTGCAATGTGTTTCAGTCTTTGGTTTGATGACCTAGTGAGCAGCTCAGTCTGGTACAGAGGTTAGCAGGGTCTTCCTGTAAAAGCAGAAAAGAAAACAAAGCAGCTGATTCTTTGCTTATAGGAAGATAGTACTGTTATTGAAGAGTACTGCTGTAGTCTTATGCTTAGTTAGAAATGGGAAGTGCCTGAGAAAATAGAGGCATGTATTAACTACAGGTAGTTAGTTGCAACAGTTAATTAGCACCTAGTTAGTAACTGAAATGCTGGTTATTTGACACTGCAGTCAAAGAGAAGAGTTGGAGCTTCAGGGCTTTTGACTGCTTCCAGGACTAAGGAGATAGCTTAATAATGATGGAAGAAATAAAATACTCCTGGAAGATTATTTGAATTATTGAATTATGAAAAAATTGTTGTGATGATGTGTACTTAGTTTCATACGTAAGCTTTTTCCCCTGCTCCCCAGCCTTGTCCTGTCAAAACACACACACGTGATCAGTAAGGGTGACTGTGGAAAGATTTTAATGATCAAGCTCAAAATGTGTTTAGGTTTTTAAAGGAAAGTACATGGGTTGAAAAAGCTGAATGAGGTAGTGTTGTTGGAGAGGATAAGGTGAGGCAAGTATCTTAAACTTTTATGTAAAGGGTGACTCACTGCAAGCCAAAGACAGCCACTGAAATACCAAATCAAACTCAGATAAGTAGGTGCAAATAAGCAGTCTACATAACTCCTTCCCTGACTCCATCACTACGTCAGCCCCACAGAGTATGTGATATGATGTAAGGTATCTATAGGGAGCTTTTGTAGGGAAGTGGAGTAGGATAAAGGGGAACTCTTCAACATGCTGGGTGGAGTCTAATAACACTTAATGAGTGGAAGTTGGTGCTGTGATAACTCACGCTGCAAAAGAAGGAGCACACACTTTAACAGTGACAGCAGTGATTTAATAAAGACCCTGAAGAATCTCAGTGTAATATAGCTGGCTTACATGTAAGTGGGTTTTTTTTTTTTTTTTTTTTTGATTCACAGAAGAAAATTCAGATATGTTATGTGACTTGCACTATGCAGGAACTCAAGACTAGCTTATGCTTGTTCTTAATGATGAATCTTTAAATCATTTAAATAGCATTATATAGTTTTGACTTCTTGAATTTGCAGCCTTAATGTTATTCTAATACTTCTGTAAGTGAATTTCTCTGTATCATATTCCAGTAGAAATTTATCATTTGGGATCATTGCCTTTTCATTTCTGCTAATGCCAACATTACGCTACCCTCAGCTATATCACCACGATGCCAACTTCAGCTATGTTGCATAGATATTTACTGCCTGAGCAGACTACGTAACAGGTAGTTGTACATAGTGCACGCTTAGGTCAGAAATAAAGACAGCAAGAAACAGTTTTCTAGTGAATTTCTCCATTGTCAGTAGTAGAGGAATGTAAAGACTCTAGGTTTCAGGGTATCAACCCAAATTCTATAGGAGGGGTGTGTTTGACTGGACAGAGTCTATATGTTGCAAAGCCTCTGTTGTAGACTCCTGCCTGGCTTTCAGCCTTGCTGTATCATTCCTCTGCAACTCTTGTCTGCCTCTCGCCTCTCCCCTACCTCATCTTCTCTTCACCTTGCTGCTTTTCACCTCTCTCCTGACTCTTGACTCTACCATTGTCCTGCTCTTGTGGGCTGCCATCCTTCTGTTTTCTTCCTTTTGGCTCTGCACTCAACCTTTCAAATATAGTGCAATCAAAATACTCATGTACATAGAATCATAGAACGGTTTGGGTTGGAAGGAACCTTTTAAAGGTCATCTAGTCCAACCCTCCTGCAATGAGCAGGGACATCTTCAACTAGAATAGAATAGACTATTTCAGTTGAAAGGGTGCTACAATGATCATCTAGTCCAACTGCCTGACCCCTTCAGGGCTGACCAAAAGTTAAAGCATGTTATTAAGGGCATTGTCCAAATGCCTCTCAAACACGGACAGGCTTGGGGCATCGACCACCTCTCTAGGAAGCCTGTTCCAGTGTTTGACCACCCCCTCGGTAAAGAAATTCTTCCTAATGTCCAGTCTAAACCTCCCCTGGCACAGCTTTGAACCATTCTCACACGTCCTGTCCCTGGATCCCAGGGAGAAGAGATCAGCACCTCCCTCTCCACTTCCCCTCCTCAGGAAGCTGCAGAGAGCAATGAGGTCGCCCTTCGGCCTCCTCTTCTCCAAACTAGACAAACCCAGAGTCCTCAGCCATTCCTCATAGGACATGCCTTCCAGCCCTGTCACCAGCAACTAGATCAGGTTGCTCAGAGCCACATCCAACCTGACCTTGAATGTTTCCGGGGATGGGGCATCTACCACCTCTCTGGGCAACCTGTGCCAGTGTTTCACCACCCTCATCATAAAAAATTTCTTCCTTATATCTAGTCTGAATCTACCCTCTTTAGTTTAAAACCATTACCCCTTGTCCTGTTGCTACAGGCCCTATTAAAAAGTATAGTACATGTGTTAGTATTAAAAGTGTGTCTGTCTCTGACCTCTCATATGACATCTTAATAATATCTTACTATTGCCTTAAGAGAAAATTGAACAGTGGTCTTGTGCAGATTGTCCTGGCTGATAGAGTCTACGCTCATTTGCCCTAGTAAGCAGAGGAAGAGGTGGGGGAAGACCTCTCTTCCTCAGGGGAAAGACAGCAGAACATAAATAGATTCAGGAGCTGTAACTGAAACTAAATGCATGTTGTGCTTGCTTTACAATGGTGAGTATGGCCTAGAATAATATGTCCCACAGGAAACGCAAAATAGTTCCATGATATTGTTGAACACAATATGTCTGTGTGTCATGGGAATGTATGACAGATTACAGAGTCTGTAAGTCTGTGCCAGTGAGTCCTGCTGGACTTGAATCCTGCTTTGAGTCCCCTGGCAGGAACTAAAAGAGGGGTTTTAGGCATTAATTATTCCATCTCTGTCTGGGGAAAATTGTGAAAAGAGAATATTGATTGTCTTAGAAAAATGTGTAAATGACTAGCCAAGAATGTTGCAACAAGCTTGCATGGTTATAATGTAAAACCATTTCTGCAGTAGCTGTAGTCCAATTACAGACATGGATCAACGTATGTCAGCAGCAGCTTTGTGTCATAATAAAGATGAAGTGCATTTTTGCCAAATATAGAAGGTAGGCACTATCTGTATTACATATGAATTTTTAGTGATTTAGAAGATGGAATAGATCACAACGTCCTATTCTTGTCTTGTACATGTCTTTATTTTGATTTCTAGGAACACCTGTTGCTAATGTAGCACAAAAAGAAGGTTCAGGTTTGTAATAATGAGTGTGGGATTTTTCTTGTTTGTGTTGCTGTAACACTGAGTGAAGGACTTGATAGTTTTGATTTTATTTTAACAAAGAGGAATAGTACTTCATAAATAGGCCCAAGAAATTACTGGGATTATGACTATCTTGGCAAAAAAAAGTTACCATTTCTGTGATGCATCAGAAGACAACTAAAACTAAAAATACTCAATTCACTGGTCAATATTTAAAGGGGAAAAAAAAATGTTTTGCTGCTGTTAGGCTTAAAATACATTGTGCCATTACCTTCATGTTTGCCAGCTTCATTTTTCCTTTGAGGGGGATGGAGTAGGTTGTAAGCTTGCTGTGAACTTCTAATGATACACAGTGGGCTGTTAAAATTATAAATTTAAAGGGGGGAAAAAAAGAAAAAAATATATGAGGTGATGTAAAATGGAGAGCTAAAAAAAAAAAAACCCAGCAAGAACTGAAGGAAGTCTAAGGGAGACTAGAGAAATGTAATTGAATGGATAGGTAGATCAGAAAAAAGAAGGGGAGAGCAGAATGGTAAGGAAGGCTAGTTATGGGAGGAAAGATGAAACCGAAAACAAGCAAGAAGGATACGTAGTTTTACACTGACTTTGGAAGTCTAATGCTGAAGTAAAATTTGTAGGTGGCAAATTGAAAGAGGCATCTTTTTTTTTTTCCCCTCCTAAACTAAAGTGTGCATACTTAACTCCTGAGTAGCAAACATTTAGATCTGATAAATTCATAGCTGCCATGATTATGTTTTGTGGTCTACTCAAAATAAAACTCTTACCATGTTTTTAGATTAATTTTATTTATACGCACATATATGTTCATAGATGTGTTCTCTTGCAATATTCACTGTCTCTTGTTTCTAGACCTTTTTCTTTTCCCCCAAAGGGTGTGAGCTGGGTAAACCAAGTACCTCAGGTGAATAAAAAAAAAATTATCTAGGTAAATTCCAGTTAGAGTTAAAAAGCTGCACTGGGCTGTCTTGCCTGTAACTCTATCTTTATTCCTTCTGTCCATTCAGATCTCTCTCAAACACTATGTTTATTTAACATATTTTTGGTAACCACCTCACTGTCCTGAAATTTGCTGCTGCCTGTTCAATGAGAGGGAATGTCTAACCTAGCTGGTTAGAGTGTATTTGGGGATTGATGTTCTCCCAGTACCTGCAGTCCCCCTCTTGCCAGCAGCTCATTAGGACTTGAACAGTTGCATTTGCTGCAAGTGCTGAGCCCTATAATTCATCCCCTTTCCCCCACCCCAGCCATCTGTAGTACTCTTCCTCTGGTTTGGAATTGTTTGTAGTATATGGGAAATATGATAAATAAAAATCATATTGTTTGGAGTTGATTGACATGGCTTTTTTCTTGAAAAGCTGATGCCTCCTCCCTTTTTTGATGTGGAGTACTAATATGATGAGAATGGCCTTGCTAATAAAATGCACTTAGAATGGAGCTTGGTATTTGCTAATGATGATCTTGGGAGCGGGGAGGAGTGTGCCGGGGCATTACCAAAGTCGAATTGCATGATTTGAATTAGCATTAGTAAATAGCAGGTTTGTCCCTAGAAAGAAACTAATCTGTGATCTGATGATCTATTCATGTTGCTTGAAATTATATTTATACACTTGGGGAACGTGCGCTTAAAAAAAACCCCAAAAAACAAAAAACCCAACCCATTGCTCAAACAGATTACACTTACTGAGATTGCCAAAATTTGATACCTGCTTTCTATGAAACATTTTCAATTCCATGTAAAATCTGTTAGCCTAATTACTTTTTTCCATTAACTTGCATTTCTGTCTGAGGAGGTGACTATGACTGTTTATTTCAGTTTTATCTAATCAGTATTTTGTTCCTCAGAAAGCAATAGTGTTCCTTTTGAAGCTAAAAAGAAGCCATCAACTCGTTAATGACCATGTTTCTTAGGGTATAGAAGGAAAAATTCCTGTGCTTGTTTTCACAAAAGCATCAGTTCTTTTCTCAGTGGGTCAGTCTACTTATGTGCCGTTCCTGTGGGTGCACATATATCTGTACACACTATACTTTGCCCTCCTCTGTGCACCATGTGTAAGCAAATACAGTAGTGTGCTATTTTATTCCCATCTGCTTGGCAAAACACAGCACTTGGTAAAAGATATTCTCTGTTGTGCAGATATGGCTGGGATTCAGTCTCCTAATGGAATTCAGACTGTCGGCTTTTTTCTGGGCTGTGTGTTTCAGCCTTGCATAACTTGCTGTGTTGCATCTCATGATGTCAGGAGGCTATTGCAGCTCCAAGTGGATTGTGAGAGAAATTGCATTTGGGGAGACTCTTCATTTACCTGCATGCATTCTGCCAGAGCCTGAGTTACATCCACAACTCAATGAACATTTGATTAGGAAACTTGAAGCTTAGTTCATGTGATTATTTAGCACTGTGCTAGAGAAAGTAGGGAGTGTGGCACAACGGTTGCACAGTTGTTATTGTGTAGGCATCTGAGATACTGCTCTTGGTAATTGTGAGTTTGCAAAATTACTGCTTGGAGTGAAATGTAGTTGGAATGTAGTTGTGGATTATCACTCAAAGGCAGAAAGTACTTACCAGGACTAGAGCTTTTTGAGATACGTAGTCTGTGTGTATATCTCCAGCAGTACCTCAAAGTCCTTTATTAATCTTGTGATTTGTATTTATCAGCTAATAGCAAACTTAAAATGGCAGGAACCAGTATACCCATATGTAAGGGAGGGCAGGGCTCTTAACACATTGTCTAGAGTGACTGCAAAACAAAATGGTTTTTTTTCCTTCAGCTGGTGTGTGTCATGCTCTCACATTGGCAGTGTAGATGTATGCTATGCATCTCAAAGAATTCAAGTGACTGATAAGCAATTCTATGTCCATTTCAGTTGGTTTCAAAAGCTACCATGGGTGCTTAGCAAACCTGACAAATGGTATAAGAATCTGGAACAGTTCCATATCTGCTACGTTTTCTTTTGCTCAGTTAACCTTTAGTTTATCTTGCATATTTTAATATTGTCTTAAGGCAGAGAAAGTATGGTTGCTACAGTAAGAGACCAAGGTGACTAAATCATGGAATCACAGGGTTGCTGTGGGCCTCGAGAGCTCATTTAGTCTGTATTTTTGTCCCAAAACAGAATGTATTTTATTTGTTTCTCTTTGTCCAGCCTCTTTAATTTCCAGAGACAGAGACTTTATAGTACCTGCACGCTCTGTTCCTTTATCCTTACTGTGGCGACATTTTCCCCAATGTTTAATGTAAATGCTATTGCATCATTCTGCGCTTGTGATGCTTATCCTCTTAAGTATGAACATAGAAACGTTCACGTTTCTTGGCTTATTTTAAAGTGTCTAGAAATTTAATTAAATACCTGTGGAGAGTGAAGCACTAGAAAAGATGTTATAAGGAGGCTGTGGTATCACTTTTGTTTTTGAAGGTTTGTAACAGCAACTTAAAAAAAATGTTAGGTCAGAAATCATGTGGATTGAGTGGATCATGCTTGGAAAAGAGAATTGTCCCATTCTGGGAACTGGGCTGGACGACCAGTTAAGGTCCTTGTTGGAATCATAGACTTGACTTTTCCTCTATGACTGAAAACATTTAGGATGAATAATGGAACATTTGGAAAGCAAAATAATGAGCTCTTGCAGGACTTTGCTTTAAATACTAAATAGCCAGACTTCTATTTTCGTGTTCAGTTTACTTTTTAGCTATATTCACATTAAAATGGTTTTGCTCCAAGTGCATTCACAGTAGAGACTCAGTTTGGGTCTCCTAAACAGTGTATTCAGTGCATCCAACTAATTGAAAATGCAGTTTGTAGGTATAAATTAGCTCTTGATAACTTAAATAATCTTGAGCTATGTATGTTTTTATAACTGCGGTATTTCTTTTGCAGTCTGTCTAGGGCAAATATGTGCCATCTTTTTTCTAGGTGTTTCTTGCCTTTGTAGCTTCAGAACTGGACTAATTTTCTGTAAGTGTGGTTTTTCTCTGGGTTTTAATCCCCACTCAGGTTCAGAGAAAAAGATTAACTTTGCTTTCTCGTAGCAGCTAGCTTCAGGGTAGGGCTGGGCACCGGTGGCCACTGAAAAGATGGACTGGTTGTTAACTCAACAGTGTAGATAGCAGCAGTATCCAGCATGGTACAAGGCAGAGGAGTAATTTAGAGGCTGACCTGAGACTGGATGTTGGAGGTCTAAGGAGGATCTCGGCATGACAGTTTGGAGGAATTGAGAATTCTGTATTGGATGTCTTGATTGAGAAGAGATTTGAAGTAGGATGGGAAGTTGGGATGGAAGGGGTGGCAAGGATTTAGGATAGAACAGTGAAGGATGGGGCAGTCAGAAGGATGGGTATGAGAGACTAGGTGGCTGACAGTGGGGTGTGGGGCTTAAATTTAGGGATGGAGCACATCTGGAATGGAGTGAATTTGGAGGATTGAGGATCTGGTGTGGCTTGGAAAGAGCTTCTGGGGCAGGAAGAGTGTGGAACTGGGGTTGAGAGGGCAAGGACCTAGTGAGGGAATTTGAAGGACTCCTGGTCAGGTGAGATGGGGCTCTCTGGAATTGTGAGGTCTCCAGGGGTGAAGGTGAAAGCTTTCTATGTGCCCAGAATATCTCCAACCAGGATTTACTTTGCGATTGAGAAGAGATGCCCATGTTCTCCTTTACTACATCATACAGTAGTCTTAACAGAGGTGGCTTTCAGAGACGCAATGGGCAGTCAAGTATCACACTTCCTTTTGTGTCTCTTACAGACCATCTCAGAAGATTTTTTTTCTTTGGTTTTGATGCTGTCCAAAGTATCTGAATTTTTAATCTCAATTTGATTTTTGCAGCCTGCACTGACAACTTTGTTATTTTTGCGTTCTTATTCAGGTCTACTCAAGGAAGTAGAATTCTTAGCAAAGGAGAAATTAGAGCTTCAATGTCAGGCAGAAAAGGACCATTCCAACTTACGTTCTCAAATGAAAGTTTTGGAGGTGGAACTGGAAGAACAGCTGCACAGTAATCAGGACCTGGCTACACAGTTATTGGAGGTTGCTGAATTAAAACAGCAAATTCAAGTTCTTGAAAAACAGCTTAAAAACCAGCGGCAATTCATGGATGTAAGCAAGCTTGGTACCACATTTCCATGCTTTTGGAGGTGATAAATACTCCTAGTTTGTGACTGAGACTTGGAAGATGGTTCGTAAAATGGGATACTTTCTGTTTTGTTTGAAATTAAGACTTTGGTATTCTACTCTTTTACAAGAAAAAAGGTAGTTTTTAATTCCCTTTCTGTAGTATTACAGGATAATTTTTTCTGTTTTATTAATTTCTCATTGTAGTTTGTATGTATCTTGGAGTCAAAGGTTTTTTTTCCTTCCCTGTAATTTTAGCTATGCTTTCAGGACTACTAAAAGTTGTTAATTATTTTTAAGTGACCACAGTTTTTTCACCACAAAAACAAACCCCAATTTTTTCTTATACTCAATATTTTAATGAAATGCAAAATTTCTTTAAAAAGATTTTCATTATCTCTGGCTGGGTTTACAGGAACAAGCTATAGAAA